ATGTCTCTAACCATCGATTATAATCGTCTCGTGGACCCCAACCAGGTAGCGCCTACATCTATCAACATGACTCAATCCACTTATCAGTAACTTCATGGATTTTTGTGCCATGTTTTGTTTTGGCCGCCCCTAGCTTTCTTCCAACCTAGCAAAACATCACTCGTCGAAGCAGTCGGTGGTTAGCCATCCATAACACATGTCCCAACTAATGATGGTCTAACCATTGATCGATTCATGATTTCAATTATTATGTGTTTGGCCTGTAATTGTTATCATGTAAATGAGATAGATAGATAGATAGATAGAACTGTTTATATTATATTATACAGTATGCCAATTGTCTAATTTGTATGCATAAATTATTCATTTAATAAAACCGACTAATATCAATTTATTATATCAAAGAATTTTTACGTGAATAATTATTTTTTTTTCTCTTTTTTTATTCTAAAAATTATTCATTGAATAGAAAAAATAATAATAATAATAATGTTACAATTTACGGTTAAAAACCGGTCGGTGTTCGTACATTGAAACACAATACAACACAACACAACACAACACACACACACCAACTAGAATTGAAATTAGCGACATGAAGGTGTACGCGCAAGTACACACACACACACATGTATAACGAATCATGATAATATACTCAGTAACGACATGGATAATGGAGGGATTATTCATAGTGTATATATATAGAACAAATCAATCTGTCGCACTAGACGATGTATCTGTCTATGCTACTATTTCCATGTCGTTGTACACACCTGCACACACACACACACCCACACACACACCCACTGACATTTTAATCTATTTATATATTTATCTCATGGATAACTGACTTGTACAATTTCTTTATGATTGAGAGAAATAAACAGTGATTACATATTACTAGTATGAAGTACAGTAATAATAATAGTAATATTTATGTATAAATAAACAATTATTTACGTGTACTTTGTTGTTATTTTGTGACAATGATTGAAATCATTATCAAAAGGTTTGATTGCACAAAAACATTTAATTCAATCCATCCATGTCCGAAATGTTGATTGACATTCAGTCAGTTAGTTAGTCAGCCAGTCAGTCAGTCAATCAGTTAGTTAGCTATAAACGTAGAACTTAGTACGTATATACACGCACGTATGTACACCAGTTTAGGTTGTTATATACCACTTTAGCACATAGAGATTGAATTGTCATCAATTCAAATCTCACAGTGGCAGTTTTTACAAGTGATGGAAAAGATTCGAGTTCGAAGAAATTTTTTCAAGAAAGATAATGAGGTGATGAGGGTGATGAGAGAAAACAAAGAATGAATGCATCTGTGCCATTGTAAGCGATAATCTCGCGGACCCCAACCAGGTAGTAGTCCACACTTACTAACATGACTCAGTTCACTTGTCGATGACTTCACAGATTTGTTCCGCGTTTCAGTTTGGCTGCTCCTAGCTTTCTTCCAACCACCCTACCTACCTCTACATCAGACATCATTGCTCATCGAAGTAGTCGGTGGTTGAGCATGCGTAACACATGTCCCCAACCCCAGCATTGCTTGTCCCAGTCAGTCAGATGCAACGTATAACTTCATACGTAAGTACATCAGTTCATGTTGCCATACCACATTAGCACAGAGATGTAAGTGTCAATTCAAATCCAATAGTAGTAGAGGTAGTAAAGGTATTAGAAGTAATCGGAGAGGTTAGGATTAGAAGATACTATTCAAGAAATATGCTTCAGTGAGATAAGTTTAGAAAGTCAAAACTACAGGTGTAGAAGAATCCAGAAGATTAGGATGTGAGCGAACATAAAGAATAAATGCACCGGCGCCATTGCGAACGATTTTGAGCCATGTCATTCAAGGTCTCTAACCATCGGTCCCAGGATACACCAGCAATGCTTCTAAGACATCGATGACACAGAATACTCGTAACCTTACGCGAATGACGCTCACTTGTTTATGTGTCATTCGTGGTTATAATGAATAATGTAAATAGTACACTGATTAATGCGTGTATTACAACAACAATCTCTCTGAGTTTTTAATCAGTAGGTTCTCAATTAAAAACTTCATTCGATTATATTCATTCAAATTATAAAACTAATAACGACAACAACAACAATAACAAAACTTATGTTTACAACTTAAATGATTTTTTTTATTGTCAATAATATAAATTGAAAAAAACATCGACATACATCATAAACAGAGTGTAAATTCAGTGTATTTGACAACTTTCAAATTGAAAATAAAACATCCGAAAGATTTATTTCAACCATACAAATCATATTATGTGATAAGGAATAAGTCATACTTATAATAAATGGGTTTATGATATATATATGTATATATACCCTCAAATCCCAACCGTAGCAGCTGCTAACTTGATGTGGTGGTCAGGTTTGCCTATCATCATGACCCAACTGAGCTATGTTGGCTGGAACATACGTTCCTGAAGGTTCTATCATGCCAGCCAGGCAGTTCGATTGGAGAACGATGAGACTAAAAGCAACTACTCAAGGTCTGAGGGAGAAGTCGTCCTGCTGACTGACTGCAGAGGGGTGTGACAGCAGTAAGGTGTTTCCCTCGGACAACCAGCATCTGCAGCGATGCTGCCTTCTCACAAGGAAGGAAGGGTTAGAAAAGGTCTACCCAAAAATGTCACACCTCACCTTACTTGACAGATTTCCGTCTCCGGCGGTAAGGCCTTTTAAACAAGAACGGAGCTAACACACTTTTAATACTACCCGTAAAAAGACCGTGCTTGACCGGCCTCAAGCATTTGTCCCTTTGGCTTGGCGGTCATGCTCGCAGGTCGTTAAAATCAACGCTAATCTACCTTCTATTTCAGGTTCCTCAAGAAACACCCTTTCATGGTGTGGGCAGCCGGGAAGTGACAACCGCTCTCATACCCGTAACAGCACGCGAGACCGAATTGGTCACAAACAAATCCATCTTAGTTGTAACTGACTGACTGACTGACACCCTCAAATACCCTTGAACAATCAAGTGGCTATAAGTATATAGCCACTGTTAAGGAAGTCCTTTCCACTGCTTTCTCGTTGTGGGTTTATTTATGAAATTAAGAGGACAAAAACTGAATATGCAACGGAAGAGTAAACCAGATTGATAAGTACAGAGGATCCATCTAGGAGAGTTGACAGACTTTAAATCGAAACCAACGATGCACATGGAATCCAGGGTCGTGAAGAAACAAATGGTGATAGGCTACCATGGGGCTGGATCTCCTAACATTGCTGCATAGTCTAGTGGATTAAATCTATAGAAACTCAGGGAATGGTCTCCTAAGCGAAACCACCGACTTCCGTTTTGGCAACTGGCCAGTATCCTAACTTATATACAAATTCAGTAACTGTTGTAATCAGTAAATATTTAGATGTCTACTTGTATAAATAATAATTATATAAATAACAGACTAATTTATTTAACAAATGTATTCAGAGAAAGATGACATATTAATTATAAGGTTGTGGAGCTTGTTGGATTTCATTTAAATCATGAAGCGATCATTGTTAGAGTTCAACCGTGTCGAGTGTAAAATAGTTACCTACCGAAGTCAATAGATGAGGTTGCGTAATATTGCAGATTAATCAAAGTTAGACATAAAAACTGTTGTATGCTGGTTCAATGATGGTCTAGAGGGTAAGTGTTCGTACGCGAGACCGAAGGTCCTGGGTTCAACTATTCTCACAAGCGGAGGTCGGGAACGAGATCGCACAATTTCGTGGACTGATTGAAGTTAAACAACACTGTATTGTATTCCCGTACAGTTGTGATCTTGAGGTTAATTTTTCGCACGCGAGACTGAAGGTCCTGGGTTCGATTCCAGCATGCGGGGGTCAAGGATGCGCACAGACGCTGATGAGTCCCATACAGGGACAAAACGGTCGTTCAGTGCTTCCAGATTTCTTTCGAATGGTGTCCTAACAATGACCGATTCATGACACTCAACGCTTTACGAGAACGGTCATAATAATCACACAATGAGAGAATGACTTTGCGGAAATTGGCTAATTTCAAGGTAATTAAGAATTGACTGGCACTATAAAATTACTGAATACAACACAGAGTATCATGATCGACTTACTTGAGGCATTTTTTAGAGTAAAATATTCATTATCAGTTAAAAAATGAACGATAGTTATGTAGTCATGTGGACTACTAGAAGTCGAACTAGATGACTCATAGGCAGTGTGATATTACGTAAGGTTTAAAGATCGTTGACTCAATTCTTGAAAAGATCGTGGGTGTACACATTGTATAAGAGTCCTGTTTTTCGAAGAAACGATTATCCCCAGTACTCCTTCGTTTTGTATCATTAACACATACAAAACCAAGTACAATCAATCAATCAATCGACAGCAACGTAGAACTTCGTACGTACATCAGTTCAGGTTGTCATACCACATTAGCACACAGAGATGTAATTGTCAATTCAAATCCCATTGTAGTACAGAAGTATTAGCAGTAATTAGAGAGATAAGGGTTTGAAGATATTATTCGAGAATTAGGATCTAGTGAAATAAACTTAAAAAGAAAAAAGATAAGACAGACAGACAGACAGATACAACGCAGAACTTCGTACACAAGTGTATCAGTTCAGGTAGCCATACCACGTCAGCACAGACACGTAACTGTCAGTTCAAATCCAAAAGTGATAGCGATAGTAGAATTATTAGCAGCAATGGAGAAGATTAGGGAGCAAAGATAAAGGTGATGGAGGAACTCTGAAGGTTAGAACACTCTGTACAGTTAAGTGACACTGGTTACAATTGTACAAGAAGTAACCAGTCGACTAAGGTTGGAGATATATTTTGAATAAAAGTATTGACTAGCATAAAAAATTGATTCAGAACGTTCTTGCTGCTGAATGCACTCGACAATTAGCTGTCGCCGACCAGACAAGACGGATTGAAATGTCAGACTACCTAGATTAGTGGCCCGATAGTATAATCGATCAAATTTAAGAACAACATAACACTGAGCAGTATTCAATGATTAAATCGTTTATTTCTTCAGTAGAATGTAACTAAATCCAACCGACATCAACTTGTAATGCAATTTTTTAAAACAATAAGAAATTAAAATTCGGTGAATAACAGTCAGTCAGTCAGTACGTACGTACGTAGAACTTTGTACGTAAGTACATCAGTTCATGTTGCCATACCACATCAGCACAGAGATGTAATTTTCAATTCAAATCCAATAGTAGAACAGGTAGTAGAGGTATTAGAAGTAATCGGAGAGGTTAGGATGAGATATTATTCACGAAGTATGATTCAATGAGAAAAGTTTAGAAAGTCAAAACTAGAGGTGTTGAAGAACCCAGAAGATTAGGATTTGAGAGAACACAAAGAATAAATGCACTGGCGCCATTGCGAACGATTTTGAGCCATGTCATTCAAGGTCTCTAACCATCGATTATTATCATCTCGCGAACCCCAACCAGGTAGTCGACAACTACCGACATGACTCAGTCCACTCGTCAATGACTTCATGGATTTCTGTCATGTTTTGGTTTGGCCGCCCCTAGCTTTCTTCCAACCTATTCCTACACCACAAAACAAAGCTCGACGAGGCAGTCGGTGGTTAGGCATATGTAGCACATGTCCCAACAATCTCAACTGATGAAGTTTCACCACTTCATCTATTGATCTGCCATTCTTACCTCGCACCCGTTTCCTAATAACAGCGTTGCTCACTCGGGTGTCCCAGGATATACGAGCAATGCTTCGAAGACATCTATGATCGAAAACCATTAACCTACGAATATCTTCTACTCTGACTGGCCATGTTTCACAGCCATAAAGTAGGACGAAGCGAACTGCTGCGCAGTACACTCGTCCTTTAGTCAGCAAACGGATATCTCGCCTACGCCATAAGTGACGCAGGTTGGCAAAAGCCAATCTAGCCTTCTGTATCCATGCTGAGATTTCGTCAGTTCAGTGAATAACAAAAGATATCACAATTAGGTTAAACATTATGTTATCAACTTACCTAGCACGAAATGGTTGAAAATCTGTAGCATTCTTCCATACACTACTAGATGAAAATGATTTATCCGGAAATTTCTCTACGGAATTAATTAAAGGATCAGCACATTGTGGATCTTGACCTGGACCACGACGTATAACTGCAACAAAAAAAAAATAAAATCAATAACAGTCACATAACAAAACGATACGGGAAAGAAATGGAGAATAAGTGAGTGGTGACATGGAACTGCGAACAGACAGACGTTAATAGAGTATAAGATCTGGATCATTGTTAGAGTTCAACTGTGTCGGTTGTGAAGTAGTTACCTATCAAGGTCAAGTTAGACATAAGCACTATTGTATGCTGGCTCAGTGATGGTCTAGAGGTTAAGTGTTCGTAAGCGAGACCGAAGGTACCGGAGTTCGACTCCTGCGAGTAGCAGAAGTCATAAATGCGCGCTGCCGCTGATTAGTCCCATAATAGTATGAGACAGTCATCCATTGCTCCCATATATCTTTCCGATGGTGGTCTAACATTGATCAACTCATGAAATCAAATTACAACATTTCATTGTACAACAACAACAATATCAATAGAAAGTTAACGACGGGTTAAATGAGTCAATCTTAGTAATGATCAAAAGAATTAGAGTAAAATCTGGTAAAACCAATAGATTTGATTAGGAAATGTAGGAAAAGAAAGGATGTTTTTAAGTTGGAAATTTTGATTGATATCAAAACGAATTCTGTATCATTAAAGGTCAAGGTGACACAGTTTAATCACCTTGACGATTCCCCCAATTTATTGATACGTATTTGGAGGGGCTTATGTGGCAACATATATCTGAATGATGTCAATCATAGATACATCCATTGTTTGTCTTTTCTCAAATCGTATACTCAATTCCTGATTCTCTTCATCTTTCTTTCTGTTAGGTTTATTTCACTGGATTATAACTTCTCGAATGATATCTTCGAAACCTAATCTTCTCCATTACTAGTAATACTTCTACTCTACCTCTACTACTATAGGATTTGAATTGATAATTCGATGTGGTATGGCAACTTGAACTGATGTACATACGTACGTACCATGTTCTACGTTGTAACCGACTGATTGAATCAAGGGATGGTATCAATTTATTAAAGATTCACAAGTATGATCGACCAATTTAGCATTTTACATCTTAACCTCGATATCTATCATTCAATTGTTATATTATTGGATGAAGAAAGAGATCAAACAGAGGGATCCAATCAAAATAAGGATGTAAAACAACGACAGGTTTACAGTCAATAACAACCAATCAAGATCGAGGCCAACAAAACAAGGTATGAGTCATACTCTATGTGGAGAAATTCGAATACTTCAATTCTATCTGCCTGAAGTTTGTGCTGATGAGGTCGCGTTCAGTAGAAAAACCATGAAAGGCTCAACAACCAAAACATTCCCAGCTCAGAGAACAAAACTCTATCATAATTTTATTAATCTAATGACAACTGAAAAATTATACTCCTAAAAAAATCTACACATTTTCTATATAGATAAATATATAGATATTTGAAACCATAAATCGATCAATGTTAGACCACCATTAGAAACCTGGAAGCACTGGACGGCCGTTTCGTCCTGATATGGGACTCCTTAGAAAATATATATATGTATAATTTATTTTCGACTGTTAGATATTCATTCAGTCAGTTAGTCAATTAGAACGTAGAACTTCGTACGTTCGTATATCAGTTCAAGTTGTCATACCACATTAGCACATAGACTCAATTGTCGATTCAAATCCCATAGTAGTAAAGGTAGTAAAAGTATTATGAGTAATCAATCGGAGAGATTAGAGTTTGAAGATATCATTCAATCTAGTGAAATAAACTTAATAAAGAAAACGATAAAGGTGATGAGGAATTCAGTAGATCAGGTTTTGACAGAACACCATAAATGGATGCACCTGCGCCATTAAATCAGACTGTATTGCTCATCAAGACAGTCGGTGGTTAGGCCATGCTTGTAACACATGTCCCAACCACCTCAACTAATGAAGTCTCACTACTTTATCTATTGATCTGCCATTCTAACAACAGCATTGTTTACTTGACAGTCCCAAGATATACGAGCAATGCTTCGTTCGGGGACACCTATGATCAAAAACCAGCAGTAACCTACGAATATTTTCTACTCTGACTGGCTATATTCCACAGTGATAAAGTAAAACGTAGCGAACTGTTGCACAGTACACTCGTCCTGTTTTGGTTCTAGCAGATACATTCAAATACAACTGACTAAAAGCTCTAAAATCGGTCGTCATTTTAGCTCCTAAAGTGAATTATGGATTTTTTTGGTGAATATTGTAAATACTGAACATAATAATGTAGGCTGTTTACAATTTATCAATATGGCTAACAAATTTGCTCGTTAAATTGGCACACACCAAAAATACATACATACATATATATATTTATAGATACATAATGTGTAGTTGTTATATGATCGATCAGTCAATTCGGTTATCCTCATCAATTAAGGTGAATAAATTAAACATGCTGGTATATGAAACAATAATAATAATAATAATTATAATAATAATAAGACTGTCAACTTGAATAATACCGGAATAGCATGTCGTCATTTTGTGTTTTGTTTGATTTAACAAAATAAAAGTACACGTACACGTACATGTACATATGAAAAAAAAATTAAAAATGGAACGGATAAGTTTTACATTGAAATTATAATTTATAGAATATGGATATACGGATATAGTTTTCATTATAGGAGTTATGGAGATTGGTGTGTTTTGATTAAATTGAAATCATGAATGAATCATTGTTGAAGGAGACTACCATTAGAAAGAAAACTGGAAAATAGAACATTATATTCGTCTGAACTTTCAGTGGATTGGACCTTTTACCAGGAGATACACTGGTTGACTTAGAATATGCTGATGACATAGTTCTATTTGATGAACACGATGATAAAATCCAGCGTCTCCTGACTACCTTAAGTTACAATGCAAGCATGTTCAGGATGCGATTCTCCTCGTCGAAATGTAAAATGTTGCTTCAAGATTAGGTTGGGTCGGCACCTGAACTAGTGATATGGAGTGAAGTAGTCGGACGTATCGACCGTTTCACTTATATTAGGAGTCTTATCAGCGCTGATGGACTGGTGACTGACGAAATTTCAGCACGGATACAAAAAGCTCGATTGGCTTTTGCAAACTTGTGTTATTTATGGCGTAGGTGAGATATCCGTTTGCTAACGAAAGGACGAGTGTACTGCGCAGTAGCTCGCTACGTCTTACTTTATGGCTGTGAAACATGGCCAGTCAGAGTAGAAGATATTCGTCGGTTATTGGTTTTCGATCATCGATGTCTTAGAAGCATTGCTCGAGTATCATGGGACAACCGAGTAAACAATGATGTTAGGGGAAACGAGTTCTAAGTAAGGATGATAAATCAGTTGGTGAAGCATTGAAACTTCATCATTTGAGGTGGTCAGGACATGTGTTACGCGTATACCCAAACACCGACTGCCTCAACGAGCTTTGTTTAATAGTGTAAGAGTAGGTTGGAAGAAAGTTAGGGGCGGCCAGACAAAAACATGGCACAAATCCATGAAGTCACTGACAAGTGAACTGAGTCATGTTGGTAAATGTAGGCTACCTGGTTGGGGGATCCGCGAGATGATAGTCACCAATAGTTAGAGACCTTGAACGACATAGCTCGAAATCGTTAGTTATGGCTCAGGTGCATCCACTCTTTGTGTTCTCTCAAATCCTAACCTCATCAATTTTATCTTTTTCTTTTTAAGTTTATTTCACTAGATTCTACTTCTTGAATAATATCACTGAACCCTAATCTCTCCGATTACTGCTAATACTTTTACTAACTCTACTACTATAGGATTTGAATTGACAATTGCATCTCTCTCTGTGTTAATGTGCTATGGCAACTTGAACCGAATGTACGTATGTACGAAGTTCTACGCTGGAACCAACTGACTGACTGATGTCCTAGCATGGGACTTATCAGCAGTGTGTATCCACGACTCCTCCTACTCGCAGGATTCGAACACAGGACCTACAATCTTACGCATGAATGTCTAACCTCTGATCTAACAATGATTGATTCATGATTTCAGTAATATATATATGTATATATTGTCTGATCATCAATGAAAAATACACTACAATCATCACAAATTGACCATGACGCATAGCACGCTTCGAATCGATTGATCCATATTCTCATTAATTAGTCCAGTGGATTAATCAAACAACATTGAGAAAAAGCATAACTTGTCTAGTCCGATAAATACACATACACACACACACGCACACACGCACTCACATACACACAAATACATGTAAGCACATACACATGTATAAACAATAGAGAGTTTAACTGAGAGGATTGAGGCCTAATCATGTATGCTCTTATTTTTTCTTCATTCTATAAGGACATTAAAAACATCAATGGGGGGGAGTATAATTAATTATCCAAATAACATTTGTATACGAACAATATATACACATTCATCATTATTTATGATTAACAATAGCTCATTGAATTTCATATTCTTCTTCTTATTATACACAATTAAAAGTACACAAAACAACTAATCAATGAAGAATGATGTGATATTAGTATTAGAGTTAATGATGAGAAATTGAATCTAATGTATTTATTATATATTTTGTAATTAGTCAATGTTTTTGTCAATTAATGAACACAATAATTCTGTCAAATGATTTAGATACAAAGTGTGTGGTGCGCGCTACTTATAAGTAGTATATGACGCGAGTGTAAACGTAATGTCTGGCAGCAGAAGATGTAGGGGAAGATCAAGAAAGGAAGAGCGGGAACACAATGGAATTTGTATGAAACGCATGAATAGTGAGTGACAATGGATTGATGTTTTGCAACAGGAACAGTCCAGTTCGATAGGATGGACTGATATTTTGCAAATGAACAATTTACGATATGGTTTTTCTATTTTACTGAGTAACTCTGTAATTTGAGATAAATTCGATTCGAACAACACATATAAGCGAACAATATTGTTTTCGATTAGATCGTCATCAGGCTTTACTCTAATATACATGAATATTTATATGAAAATGTTAAACCAATCAAGGCAATTTGAGTGATAATCACAATGAAATGAAAAAGGCAAAAGTACAAGTGGATAGTAGGAAGATAGGTGAACCGATAGTAGTAGGACAATTTATAAAATATGATAACTAAAGTAGGTCAAGGGTGGATGAATAGAAATCAAATAATCATCAAAAACATCAAAAACATTACGGCCTGCGATACTCTGCAGGATAGATTAAGAAGAGTAATCAACAGAACATTCAACGCTGCAAAACTTGCATTGACTTTCTCCAGTCGACCTGCGATGTCTACTCAAACGAAAGATAAGTTACCTGAGCTGGCCTCCTCTATGTGCATTTACAAATTCAGCTGCTCCTGTGGAGATAGCTATATCGGGCGTACTTCCAGGCAACTTACACAACGAATGAGTGAACATCTACCAGCATGGTTTACAAAGGGTCAGTCAAAAACAATACGCAGTTCTATCTTAGCACACCTGGTAGATAGTGGTCACATTGTAGATAAATCTAGATCTTTTCGGGTGATCTATCGTATACCTCCATCATTTCCCAACGGAGTTCGATCCCGTCTCCTACACATTGCAGAAGCCATAGGAATACGCACATTCAACCCTAATTTATGTGTTCAGAAAAAATTCGTGACACCCCTATCTCTTCCGTGGCCGGATATGACGTAACTAACGATTGACATTATATATATATTTTATTTATTTTAATTTAATTTTATTATTTTTATTATTTTTACACATCTGCTTATTCCGTAATGTTTTTGATGTTTTTGATGATTATTTGATTTCTATTCATCCACCCTTGACCTACTTTAGTTATCATATTTTATAAATTGTCCTACTACTATCGGTTCACCTATCTTCCTACTATCCACTTGTACTTTTGCCTTTTTCATTTCATTGTGATTATCACTCAAATTGCCTTGATTGGTTTAACATTTTCATATAAATATTCATGTATATTAGAGTAAAGCCTGATGACGATCTAATCGAAAACAATATTGTTCGCTTATATGTGTTGTTCTAATTTTCACAATGGGAATCTTTAAAATTCGTAAACACAATTTGGTTGCCCTCACCTGTGTTCTCCTTCACTACAAGGTGTACAAATATGTTTGATATTCATTATAGGGAGTTATGGAGATTGTTGTCTCATTAAATTGAATTGAAATCAACAATCGATCGTGGTTAGAATACGATTAGAAAGAAATTTGGAAGCACTAGACAGCTGTTTCGTACTAAGATAAGACTCGTCAGTGACCAGTGCGCATATCTACGGCCTACATTCGTGAGAATCAAATATAGGACCTTCAGTCTGGAGTATGAACGCTTAACTTCTAGACCATTGAACTGTTAGTTATTTTCATAACTAATTGTAGTTATGTCATAACTAACCAATCAAGTTGTGGTTTAAGCGATCATCCATCACGTGATCTGATCTGACATGTCTGTAAACTTTCTTCGTTGTAAATGACCTACTGATTGAAGAACGTTATTATCTTATTATTATTGATGTGACTCACAGCTTTATTCATTTCCATAAGATACGCTATATTGGTCGGTATGTTTGGTCGCTTCACTTGTGATAACTGTAATTCCCTTATTTATTGTACTAATCTAATTGTTTTTATGTTCAGAAACAGATCAAGTTTAAAACCAAATTGGTCTTGTGTTTGACTATAGCTTTCCCATAGACTCTGTGTTCACCAATATCGCGTTTACAATTCTAGAAGTACATCTGTCAGTCAGTCAGTCAGATGCAACGTAGAACTTCGTACGTACGTAAGTACATCAGTTCATGTCGCCATACCACATCAGCACAGAGATGTAATTGTCAATTCAAATCCAATAGTAGAAGAGGTAGTAAAGGTATTGGAAGTAATCGAAGAGGTTAGGATTAGAAAATATTATTCAAGAAGTATGATTCAGTGAGAAAAGTTTAGAAAGTCAAAACTAGAGGTGTTGAATAATCCAGAAGATTAGGATTTGAGAGAACACAAAGAATAAATGCACCGGCGCTATTGCAAACGGTTTTGAGCCATGTCATTCAGGGTCTCTAACCATCGATTATTATCATCTCGCGGACATCTGTAGGACAAATTAAACCCTACATGAACTGGCATCCAACGGTGTTAGCGTTTAACTCAAATCAATCCATTGTCTTCGATCGGCAACTGTCTCACACCCAACACAAATCGGATTCCACTGGTCATCAACCATGCTTTCAAAAGAAATTCAATCATCTCCACAACCCTATATAGACAATATTAGTGACAGTTTATAATTTCCCATTAGTGATATTCCGAATTGTAATTGGCCAGTTTCTGATGCCAAAATTTAATTTTAAATCCTGAATTCTAACTGCTACCTACATACCATGTGTGCTAAGACTTGTAACATAAGACTGTCATTTAAGTTGAACAAATGACAACAGCTACTGATCAATCGAAATTCTAAATGGCAATAACAGAAAATTACAAATCTTTACTTCACTAAATCATTGTTTTCTAACATTCGAAAATTAAACATACAGTCACGGATTATTTGATGATGAGAAAATAATCTTGAACAATAACAATGAGTAGTGAAATTCTACATCAAATTAAAAAAGGGGGACACAATCAAAATAGAAGTGCAGACAATGACAGGTTTAAGGTCAATAACAACTAATCAAGATCGAAGTGGACAGAACAAGCTACGAGTCATACTATGTGGAGAAATTGGAATACTTCACTTCTATATCTACCTGAAGTTTGTGCTGATTATGATGTTGTTCAGCAGAGGAAGAACAATGAAAGCTCTACAACCAAAACATTCCCAGCTCAATCATCATCCGCGTGAGCTAAAACGTTTCTCCATCATCCTCAAAATCCGTTTTTGAATTTAGTTATAGTCATAGATATATTAGTATTATTACTTGAAATTCAAGGAGTATTTTACTAAACAAAATCAAAGTAAAGATTTATTCTAATCGGTCACCAAAATTTGTATAATGTCCGTCCATTTATAGGTGTGTAGGTGTGTGTGTGTATGTGCATATGTATAACTAAGACTTCATAGTACCGCAGTACAACACACAATACAATTTGTAAAATTTCGAAAAATTTCATAGAGAACTTTTGTGTATATCATGTCTAATCATATGAACTATTAAGCTAACCGGTTTATTAGATATCCGTCAAAATGTTATTATTATTATTATTATTATTATTATTATTATCGTATCATGTGTCCAAGTGGTCTAATTCATCAGCTGAATAATTTATTTCTCGCTTCTATCTCTCTCCCCACCACTAAGTTTGTTTATGTTAGATAATTTCAATTAGCTTTAATAAAATGATGACCCCACTTAACACACATATATTTGCTTGTTAAAATGTCAAATTTTATTATACGGAATCAAGTTTTAACTTGAGATTACTAATCAGCGTCTATTTCGATGCATAATGTTAGCTGAGAATTTGAGTCAGTCAGTCAAATGCAATGTGGACGCTAGTACCTAGTTGCATTGACTGAAGTTGCCATAGCCAAGTAACGGCATAACATAGTCAAGGATAGGCACTGTTAAGGAGTAGTACCATGTCAGGACAAAATAACTGGCCAGTGTTTTTTCAGATTTTTAATAATGGGTTTAACTAAGATCAGTTCGTAATCGAAACTATAAAAATAACTGACTGTTATACATTGAAACCGTGAATCAATGATTGTTAGACCAGCGTTAGAAACCTGGAACCACTAGACGGGCGTCTCGTCCTAGTATGGGACTATTACTCATCAGTGGCAGTGCGCATCCACGATCCTTGCCCATGTGAATAGAATCCAAGACCTTCGGTCTCGAGCTGGCTAACGCTTAACTGTTATGCTCGTCAGATTGATATGCTTGAATGCTATTACGAGTTCACCTTAGTCGATAAACGAGAACGAGACAATGAACTAGTGACACGATAGGCTACTCTGATCGATTGCCCCGTGAAACTGAAGAAGTCTTGATATGGCGTAGAAAGTGTACTCTACAAGCACACAGAAAATCGAGGTTTTTGAAACACACAAATCGAGTTTATTCATATATCATAGAAACGTACTTGGGAGAGTCACAAAAATAGCCTACTGAAATAACACATCCAACAATCACAGTCAAGGATTTTCTTGGTGGGAAATGTAATTTCAAGCTCAACTGATCAGCCCATGAATAAAATCCAAAATTAAGACTTTGATCAGGTTAGTTCTGGGAATCGAACGTCCCCAACATTAACCTTT